TGTTGCAGGTGGGGAAAAGTATAGAAGACTAGGGGCAGGAGAAGGTGGCCTCCTCTAGGGCCGAGTATTGTGTAGCAATAGAATGACATTTAGCAGGGGCTCCGGGAGCGTGTCTGTGGTGTGGGAGGCACAAGGACATGGTCGTCAGGAACTGAGCGTGAACAGTGACTAGGTGATCATTTAGATGCACAGTCGCTCCCACATCAAACGTTGGGACACTGGGGACTCTCTGGATTTCTCTCAGTCAAGATTTGAGAACATTAAAGCTTCTGTGTTGGGATTTTGATGGGAATTTGGAGGTGGAAGCAGGGAGAGGACAGTCAGAACTGAGGGGACAGAGCTGGACGAGAGAGCCTCGCTCTTTGTTCTAAGGTGCACATTTCTCACCTTTACTGAGAATGTCTTTCCCCTGGGCTTGCTGTAGACACAAAACCTGGTATACAGAACGCCTGAAACATTCCTGCTGGAGTTGGAGCAGAGACTTTCCTTCTCCTTCAGTGTTGACTACTGTTTGCCTCAATCTCTGTGGTACGTGGGATGTACTTTATAGCTTAGTAGTGAGAAGGCAGTGGAGAGTTTTTTAAAACAGTGTTAGCAGCAGAGGATAGCAGCAGAGAAAGGGGTAAAAACCGGAAGAGGGGAGGGAGGGGAAGAAAAAAGAAAGAGCTGTCTTGGGGTCATTTCCTGTTCATGGCGACCCCATGTGTGCGTCAGAGCAGAACTGTGCTCCAGGGGCAGCTTTTGGAAATTAGATCACCAGTTCTTTCTTCTGCCTTGCCCCTGAGCATACTTGAGCCTTCAGACTTTTAGTCAGCAGCCAAGCACATCTGCAGCCTTCAGTATGGATTGAAGCTTAACATCAAGAAAACAAAGATTCTCACCACTGGGCCAGTTGGCAGCACCATAATGGATGGAGAAGAGACTGAGGTAGTTGACATCTTCAGTTTGCTTGGCTCCACAATCAACACTCTTATACCAGTAGCCGGGGAATTAAAAGATGAATTGCACTGGGAAAATCTGCTGTCAGGGACCTCTCCAGGGTGCTGAAGAGCAGTGATATCATTCTACAGACTAAAGTGTGTTTGATCCAGGCCAGTGGCTTCATAATTACTTGCTCTGCATCAGAAAGATAGACAGTGACTAAGGATGATAGAAGAACAATTGATGCCTTTGAGCTGTGGTGCTGGAGAAGAGTACTGAATATACCGTGGACTGCTAAAAGAACAAACAGGTTCATTGTGGAGAGGGTGAAACCATGCTGCTCCTTGGAGACAAGGATTCTAAAGCTTCATCTGATATACTTTGGGCATGTCTGAATGCCCGGTGAACCACACCTGAGCTCTCCCTACAGGTGCATGGCATGTTTGGAATCCACTGGCTCCATTTCCTTCTCTACTACCCTCAGTGTTTCCCACTTCCGTATGAGTTTGTGTTCTTCAAGCTCCCAGAATAAACTCCCTTGTTAATATCCTGTTAAAGATCTCAAGCAGGATATTACCAGGGTCCACCTGGACCTTTGGATGGCTGAGAATTGGCGGTAATGCTCCCAGGAGTGGGTCTCTGAGGAAATCACAAGACACCGCTCAGCTTCAAGGGGAATCAATTGCCAAAGGGAAGCAATGCTTTATTCACTGCTCTCATTCTGAACCTGGGGCCTGCTGCAGTTCAGGCCATGGGCTGAGGCCCACAGTGGTGGCTGCCCGGTTCAGGCAACATCATGATAGACGGAGAAAAGATTGAAGCTGTCAGTGACTTCATCCTACTTGGATCTTCAATCAATACCTTTGGTACTAGCAGTCAGATCAGGAGATATTGCATTGGGAAAGTCCACTATCAGGAACCTCTCCAAAATACTGAAGAGCAGTGGTGTCAGTTTGAAGACTAAGGTGCACCTGATTCAGGCCATGTTCTTCTCACTTTCTAATTGGACAGTGACTAAGGATCATAGAAGAAGAATCAATGCTTTTGAGTTGCGATGTTGGAGAAGAGTACTGAATATCCCACAGACTTCCAAAAGAAATGGGTACTCCTTAGAAATAAGGATGAGGAAGCTTCGTCTCATAAACCTTGAGGCATGTTAGGAGGGGGCCAGTCCCTGGAAATATACATTGTGCTTGGAAAAGTGGAGGACCATCCAAAGAGAGGAAGATCCTCAGGGAGGAGGATTGATAGAGAGACGGTAACAAAGGGCTCAAGTATATAAACGATGACACTGGATGGGACAAGGTTCCCATCTCTTATTCACGGAGGCTCTGTGAATTGTGCCTACCTAGCAGCAACACCAACAAAGATGGTGTGCAGTTGCCTCTGCTGACCGCTGGCCTCTCTCCTATGCTCACTCATGGGTGTCTATCAGGTGGGTGCTGTGCTGAGCTGGAGCTCCTGGTGGTAACAAACAATGAATGTGCTTGGCGCCTCACCAGAGGCGGGAGGTTTGAGTCTACCCAGATGGTAGGCCTGGCAGTCAACTTCTGAAAAGTCAGCCATTGAGAACTCAATGGAGCACAGTCCTCTGACATGTGAGGCCACCACGTGAGGGACTAACATGTCATTGGAATTTCAAACACCCCAAATAAGCCTTTTAATAATTACTTTTTTAACAAACTAGCTTGCTTCAGTGATCTTTGGGAATTTAACAAGAAAATAAGATGTTGCTGCCAAGATTCCCTCCCCCTTCCTGACCACCTGAGACGGGGGAGGAAGCTCTGGGTGACATGTGGGGTTGAAAACTCCCTAGAGTGCTGGTGCGGACAGCAGACCAGTGTGTGGCCCTGGCCTGTGTGTTCCTGTGCCGATGTGGATCTCATGTGCTTCCACCTGCCCTTCAGCTCCCTGCTGTCATCTCTGGGCCTCTGCTCCCACAGCCCTCTCCCCCTAGGCCTGAGCAGCCCCTCTCTCGTCCCAGGCTCTCAACACACATGGACTTACCCTCACAGTCAGTTTAATGTGTGGGCATGAGTGGCTGGTAGGTTACGGGCGCTCTACTGAGATTAGTGAAGTGTGTTCTGGGGTGATTCTTTGTAAAAGATTGTTATCATTGTTTCTGTCATACTTTGGACCAGAATCTTGGACCTCTAATGCACCTGATATTCATGAAAATGCATCTGATATTCATGAAAATGAGAATAACAGCAAAGATAGAAAGAAGTGTTTTATGGCTCAGGGCCTTAGTACCTGCTGGACAATCAGATGGGAACACAGTGTACGACTACCACCCCTGGTTAGCTGTCCCCCACCACCTGGAGTTCTGCTTAGAAAGCCTTTTCTAGGGCCCTTCACAGGCTCCTCAGACCAGATCAGGTTTTGCTTGTTGGTGCCCCGTGAACCTTTGTCTGGAAGCATGGTCACACTCAGTGAACACTTCCTGGGTGAGTGAATGCAGGCTTGAGAGGCAGCAAGTGAGGGTCACTGCAGGTCTGAAGCTACTGGCATGGCCCTGGCCATGTGCATGTCACTGCTCAGAAATCTGCCGAGGAGTTCATTTGAATTAGTCACTCTAAACTCCTTGCTTGCTGAAACTGAGGAGGACATGAGACTGTAGTCTTCAATATGGATTGAAACTCAACATCAAGAAAACAAAGATTCTCACCACTGGCCTAACTGGCAACTTTATGATAGACGGAGAAGAAACTGAGAGATTCTTAACACCTTAAGCTTGATTGCTTCCACAGTCAACACTCTTGGCACTGGCAGTCGGGAAATTAAAAGACAAATTGCATTGGGGAAGTCTGCTGTCAGGGACCTCTCTAGAGTACTGACAGCAATGATGTAATTGTGGAGACTAAGGTGTACCTAATCCAGGCCATGGTCTTTGCAATTACTTGCTATGTGTCAAAGAGCTGTACAATGATTAAGGATGATTGAAGGAGTATTGATGCCTTTGAGCTGTGGTGCTGAAGAAGAGTATTGAATATACCATGGACTGCTAGGAGAACAAACAGGTTCATCCTGTAGAGTGTGAAGCTAGGCTACTCCTTGGAGGCAAGGATTTTGAAGCTCCATCTCGCATACTTTGGACATGAGGCCAGGAAGGACCAGTCCTTGGAGAAGGACATCATGCTTGGAAGGGTGGAGGGACAGCACAGGAGAGAAAGACCCTGGATGAGATGGATTGACTCAGTGACTGGAGAAATGGATTTGAGTCTGTCAGAGACAATGAGATTGGCTTAGGACAGGGCAGGATTCAGAGCTCTTTATACATATGGTCACTATGAGTCACAGGTGACTCGAGGGCACATAACAGTTACAACCCTAAATTCCAGGGGATAATCTCTAATTTGTTGGATTTAACTATCTGAAGTTAACAGAAGATGACTGAGAGGAATCCCCAACTACAATGTGAATTTGGTGCCTGAATTGCAACCTGTGTTCTAGGCTGTTTTTCATATTGCTGGTGTTTTACTCTTGTTTATGGGCAGGACTAGGCTGATCTCCTTGTTTGTGTGTGTCTTAGTTACCTACCAGTGCAGGTCCTTCTAAAAGTCATTGGGTCACAATGACTTCACTTAAGAACTCACAGAAGCTGGCGGCCATGTCCATGATGACATGGCCCATAGTGCTCCTCTAACCCACAGTGAGAGTGGTGGCACAGTGGGCTATGTCATTGGGAAGCTGTTGTCGGCTTTTTGTTGATGAAGACCTGGGCAAGAATGTGCTCCAGGACCGTGGACTTTCATAATGCATGCCACAGATGCCATCCCCTTGGTCACTGCCTGCTCCTCACTGCACCTTGTGACCCAGAAGTCAACGTTTGGGTCATGACCAGCATCTTCTGTTAATTAAAGAAAACAGCGTAGAAAATACCAGCTTGCAGCATATGTTGTAAAAGTATCTGTCCTCTCATGAACTTGCTCCTTCATTTTGGGGGGATGTGTGGTAAGTCACAGAATAGAATGTCTTCCTTTCTTGCAGTCAGAACAATCTGATTCCTACAGCTCTGTGGCATGTCCTAATTGGACTTTCCAATGTCATCTCCACTTCTGCTGTGCTTTTTCCTAAAGGTATGCAAAATCTAGCCAGATCAAGACTGTGTCCAGCAGCAAGATATTTTTTAAAGGGAGTAGATTTCGATATAGGTGAGTAACACAGCTACTATGTCTTGTACTGAGTGGCAGTGGGACTTCACTTTGATTTGCGTTTTAATATTTTGTTTATAAATAACTGCACCTTGAATTGTGACCCTAGTTCAGCCTACCCCGTTATACTCCATTGCTCTCTTGCTTATGAGGACACCTCAGACTCTTTCTTTGTGGAAGAAATAAGGGGTAGTAGATTTCTAGAGTTGGGTCAGACTGTTGTGAAGCTAAAAACATCCATACGTGTACACATCACCTGCACATGCATGGTAGTATCACTTTAACATCTGTTCTACTAAATTCACGTCTGATCACATAGACATTTTCATTTATTTGTATGATTTTTAAAAGGGAAAGTCACTCTTGTTCTGTTAACTACTAATAATTCCCTCTGGTGGTTTTTAAATAGCCCAAACCGAGATTCTGGCAGCCCTGAGCAAGGGTGGGATGCAGGCAGGGAGGCTCTGGGCATGGATTCTTAGCCTCTGCCCGTTAGGACAGGTGCCATTGGGACCTGGCCACTTCTGCAGCTCAGGTGGACAGCACAGTGGGCAAGCCTGACTGGCCCCTACCCCAAGCACTTCCTCTTGTTCTCCTGGCATACTCTTTCAGCCGTGCCTCCACCATTTCATATGTCCAGCACCCTTCACCCCCAGAAACTTCAGTGACAGCAGCAACATTGAGAACAACCCAAAGTTGTAGAGCTCCCATAAGGCTCTAATATGGTGTTTGCACAGTGTCCAAATCACTCAGCATCCTATTTCAGAGACTGTACAGTGGACACTAAGGAGAGCAAGCCTGTGTACATACATACATAAGAAGATCAGGTAGTATGGTGTTAAAGCACTCGACAAACAAACCGTAAGGTTGGCATTGTGAACCCACCAGCCACTCCATGGGAGAAAAGACATAGTGATCAGCTCTTGTAAACATCCCAGCCTGGGCGACCCTGTCGGCGAGTTCTCTTCTCTCAGAGAGCAACTGTGAATTAGAATCAACTCACACCTATCAACAGTATGCCTTCACACATGGGGGGCCTGTGCCTGGGCACACACAGAGGTTCTGGGCCTGGGCCTGTGCAAACACGGGGAGGGGGACTGTGCATGTGCACACATGGGCGTCCTTTGCCTGCAAATATATGGAGGGGGCTGTGCCTTCACGCATGCACAGTGGGCCTGTCCCTAGGCACACACATGGGGGGGGCCCTGTACCTGTGCACACACGGAGGGGTTGTGCCTGTGCACACAAGGGGGCCTTTTCCTGGGCACACTCATGGGGATGGGGCTGTGCCTGTGCACACAGAGAGACAGGGCCTATGCCCACATGTGCACATGGAGGGCTTGTGCCTGTGAACACATGGGCAGTCTGTGCCTGCACACACACAGGGGTCTGTGCCTGTGTACACACAGAGGACCTGTGCCTTATGCACACATGGGGGACTGTGCCTACACACACACACACACACACGGCCTGAGCCTGTGCACCTACAGAAGGCCTGTGCAAAACCAATATGTTTTTGTCTCTGTCTTTTGCAGTGGCAAAGTTGCCAAAGAGGTGGTAGAGGCCAGCTCCAAAATCCAGAGGGAGCCTCCTGAGGTGCAGAGGTAAGTGATGGTCTGTAGAGTACTGTGGTGGCTTCCAAGATGGGTCAAGGATGTAAAAGCCTGGCTTTCCCAAATCCTCTTCCTCTTTACCCTCCTTGAGTGTGATGGCATCGTATCATTTTAGCTCTAAACATTTTTCTCTTTGTTCAAGATGGAGCTAGTATTTTTTTTCCCTTCTTTGCTTGGAAGACTGCTGATTTCCCATTTAATCAGCTTTGGCACTCCTTGGCTTGTAGAGGATCCCCACATGGTGTGGTTCCCATATGTCAATGTCTGTGTTCCTGTCTATAAGACACATCCTGAAAGCATCAGGTTTAAGATCCACCCAGCTCAGTAGGGCTTCATTACCATAACAAAAGGAAACTCTGTTTCCAGACAGAATCACACTCTCAGATACAGGAATTAGGAGACACAGCTTTTGGAATTTCTAGTGGCATTGTCTGCAGGAGCTAATTCCAAGGCCACCCCTCACAAGCAGTGTAAATGTACCAGCCCCTCTGATGGAGGAAAATGAGCAGTCTATTCCTGGGTGATTTGGAGTATCAGAAATGCAGTGGAGGGTTAGCTACGAATTAGTTGTAACTTGACAGAAATGAAAGAATGAGTGAGTGAGTTTTGGGGAACAGAATTTATTACATAACAAGTTCTGTTTGATATTATCATCTGTCATCTAAAACTGGGAAGCCAGGCTCTGACGATTGGTCCACGTTAGGGTCCCTAACCATGGAGATTTGAATGTTGGCTAACAGGCCGATGGTCTTGCCTCCCCTCCAGGGTGAGGGGGCGCAGGATCTCCACGAGCAGAGCTGTAGCCAGCCTGTTTCAGGCTGCCATTTTCTGAAGTCTGTGGTGGCGCAGACAACATTTCCAAAGGATTTTTTTTTCTACCTCATAGTAGCAGTTTGATTCAGAAATTGTTCTATGCTGGAAGCATAATCATGTCAGGCTGTAGAGAGGCAGCCTCGGATTCTCACAGTAGAAGAAGTTAAAGGTGCCTGTCTGTGGAGACCCATAATGGGAGCAGATATTTCCTTGGGTGCAAGGAAAGCCAAATTTCTGGAACTGTCTTAAGAAACGTACCTGAATCTGTGGGCCCCTGGAGAGCTACACATGACAGGACTTCAGGACTAAAAGTAAAGTATTGTGACCAGAGTCTTCTCCTGACAGTGACGAGTGTCATCAAGTACTGTCCTAGGAGTCTGTCCATGTGATTGTCCTTAATTAAGTTACATCTTCCTTTCTTCCTCTTCACTTAGAATTTTTTTTTTTCTATTCTCAAAGGCTCATTAAAGGGGAGGGGGGAATGAGGCAAAGCATGCAGAAAAGCAATTTGTGGACAGACAGAGAAAATCATCCCATTTTTTATTCTGTATTTCATTAAGGAGTCCCTGGGTGTCTGGTTATGGAAATGTTTAAATGCTTAACTACTGGCCAGAAGTTTGGTAGTTTGAATCCACCCAGAGGCACCTCAGAAGCCTGAAAATATTCTGGAGCAGTTCTCTTCTACAGACATGGGTTGTCGTGAGTTTGAATTTACTTGATGCCAACAACAGTTTTCATTAGCATAATTAATGCTGGATCCACATGAACAGTGGGGAAAGCCTGGGCCACCTAGCAGCTTTATGGAATCAATAGGAGAGTTCAGTTTAAAGCCACTGGTAGGGAATAGAGGAGATATGCCTTTAATTCTGATTTTGCTATATCTCCCTGGCATCCTGGCTTAGTACCTGACCCCAGTGCTTGTCTTAGAATCCAGGCCCCTGGATTCTTCATGCCCCAGAGAAATCTTATCTGTTTCAAGATGCACATATGGCAGCCAAACTTGAAAGTTTGACCCAAATATACCTGTGGAGAAAGGTCCAGTAATCTACTTCCCCAGAAAATCAGTCTTCAAAAACCTTCTGGAGCACAGCTCGGCCCTGACACATAGTGAGTTATCTATCTTTGGGTTGTGGTGTTAGCCTAACAGTGGCTTTTTTATTAGCCATTAGTTAGGCCCCTCTGGTCTCCAGCTACATTAACTACAGACACTTTGTTTTGCAAATCAGCATCAACAGTGGGACTATAAGAGAAAAAGTATGCATACACACATGGAGCAGCAAGACTTGAGGTAAGCAAGACTTGTGGTGACGAGACTTGAGGGAGACTGGAGCAGACCCTGTTAGTGAGACCCTGGTGATAGTGTTGGAGAGACTCTGGCATTGCTGTGGACAAACGGTGACAAGATGTGACCTTAGGCTTCTTGCATTTGTGCTGGCCACAGTTAAAGGAGAAGCTGGCTTATAACTGCGCTGAGGCAAACCTTGCTGGATGATTTGGATTTGATTGCTGAACTGAAACCACAGCCTGGATTTATTGAGGAATTATGCCTTGGAACTGTTGGGCTAAAGCCTGGACTTGTATTATGAGATATTCTTTACCTTCCTCACTCAGCTCCCTAATAAACCCCGTTGTTGGTACCATAACTATGAGTCTGCGAATCAGCAACAAATAAATGATCCTCTTGCTATTGGTGTGACTTTAGAGGCACCATGGGGCTGGGCTACAGTATCTTTGTCTGCTTTCTGCTCTGAGGCAGTGAGGGACTGTGCTATCCTTACTCCCTCTGGCTCTTTCAGAGAGTTGTTCATGGCCTGTTGTCTCCACTTTATATAAGATTTATCTCTTGAGACTTATATTGATACACTATGTAGTCTTCATCTTTCAGCTGTGGATTTATGGGGTGTTAAGGTTAAAATTCACCTTAGGGGACTCTGCCCTAAACCTTGACAAACTCAGTGATTACCAGACCCTGGCCTTTGGTTTCTGCTATATTGCAGTTAGAGCCTGGGAGGGTTGAGACCAAGTGAACATCCTGCCCATCTGATATGCAGACTGGTTCACACCTGTGAATTCAGCTTTGGAGCTTCACCTGGTCCAGCACCAAGCAGCAATGAGGATGTTGTGATCTTGGGGATAACAGGATATTGGATTTCTCCAGCTGAAGAGTGTTGATACGCATGCTTGTGTAAGGGCACAGAAGACTGTCCATGAAGAGGAATCTTTGTGTAGCACAAGCAGTGGTTTTGGAGAGGAACAGCTAGCATCTTTTTTAAAAATTAAATGGCTTTTTATTAATGATTTTCAGTGCAACATATATTTTTTTGGCAACATATATTTTTACAGCATATTCTTTGCATTTAATTTTCTCCCCATTCATTCATTCTTTCACATTTTCCTCCATGCTCACCCCTCCCCTATTCGTTTTTCTCTTTGAAGAAAAAGAAAATTCTTTCATTGTTATTCAAACCCCCTCCTTGAGTCCACAGTCCACTTTAATAGGTATTTCTTTTTCTGTAATTTTATCTTTAAAATAATACCTAATTCTATAGTCCTTTTAAAAAGTTCTCTCCCTCATCTGTTTTGATGCAGTATACATTATTTATCCCCTCTTTTCTCTTATCTCTTCAACCCTGATGTCGTCCCGTTTTACAACAGTGGCACGATGCAATATTTGTCCATTTGTGACTGTGATATTTCGCTCAGCATAATGTCCTCCAGGGTCACCCATTTTGTATAATATTTCATGAGTTCTTTGTTTTTCGGTGTAGACAGCAAGCATCTTAACTGTCAGCTGAGCTGCTGTTGGTGTTCGGTGCCATTGGGTCCACTCTGACTTGTAATGACCCTGCAAACAACCAACCTGAGTCCTGCCCTGTCCTGCACTATCCTCATGATCTCTATCCTGCTCAAGCCTATTGCGGTAGTCATTGTGTCAGTGCATCTCTTCGAAGTTCCTACTCTCCCTTGATGACTTTTCCCTACATGGTATTTCTCTCCAAGAACTGCTTCCTCCTGGAAAAAGTGCCCAAAGTGTGTGTATCACCGTGCCTCTAAGGAGCACTCTGATTGCATTTTCTTCAAGAAAGATTTGTTTGTTCTTTTGACAGTCCTTCACGTATTCAATGCTCTTCCCCAACAGAAACGTTCAAAGGCACTTCTTTTTATTCTGTCATCCTTGCTCATTGACTAGCTTTCAGATGCATAGGAAGCAAAGACCATGATTTAGATTAGACACACAATAGTCTTTAAACTGACACCCTTTCTCTTTAGAACTTTGGAGCAGTCCTTGACAGCAGATTTCCCCAAGGTAGCATGCCTTTTGATTTTATGACTGCTGTTATCATGGCTGCTGGTTATAGATCCAAGTAAAGTTAAATTATTAACAATTTAATTTTTTTCTCCATCTTTCATGATGTTTCCTGCTGGTCCAGTAGTGAGGATTTTTGTCTTCTTGTTGTTGAGATATGTATGTGTAGTTTTTTATCTTCTGCAGGAGGTGATTCAAATGTTCTTCCTTTTCTTTGCGCAGGGCCTTGTCACCTGCATAACGCAGGTTGTTAATGAGTTTTTCTCCAATCCTGATGCCACATTCTTCTTGTAGTTCAGCTTCTTGAATAATTTTCTCATCAATGCTCAGATTGAGTAGGTATAGAAGAAGGATGCAACCCTAATGCACGCATTTTTATAATTTGAAACTGCCGTTTTCCCTTGTTCTGTTCATATAACTACTTCTTGGTCATTACATAGGTTCATAATTAAGTGTTTTGTGATTATAACTTTTCTCAATATTAGCAATAATCTGTTATGATCCGTACACTCAAATGCCTTTACATAGTCAATAAAACACAAATAAACATGTTTTCTCATATTCTTTGCTTTAAGACAAGATCCATCTGACATCAACAGTGATATCTCTTACATCATTGCCTCTTCTGGATTCTGCTTAAATGTGTGGAAGGTCTCTTTTGATCTATTGTTCATTTTTTAAATGATCTTCAGCAAAATTTAACTTGTATATGGTATTATTGATATTATTTGATAAATTCTTCATTCTGTTGGATCACCACTTTTTTTGAATGGAAACAAATATGGATCTCTTCCAGTTAGTTGGCCAGGTACCTGTCTTTCAAATTTCTTGGCTTGGCAACAAGCATGTCTAGGGCTCCACTAATTAAATTGTGATTCCATCAATTACTGGAGCTTTCGTTTTTCTAGTGCAATTTTTATTTTTTCAAGTACAACTTGAACTTCTCCCATTTTAACTGTTGGTTCTTGATCGTATGCTACTGCCTGAAATGTTTCAGTGTCAACCATTTGTTATTGGTTTAGTGGCTGTATTCCTTCCATCTTCTTTTGATGAGTTTGATGAGCTTGAATACTACGTCATTCAAAATTTTGCCATAGATGCCTTCAGTGTCACACCTTGTGACTTTAATTTGTTTTTCAGCTTGAGAAATGCCCAGCATGTTCTTCCCATTTGGTTTTATAACTCCAGGTCTTTACACATTTCCTTATAATACTTTTCTTTGCCTCCTCGAGTTGCATTTTGAAATCTTCTGTTCAGCTTGCTTACTTCAGCAATCCTGTCTCTTTCTTTGGCTGCTTTTCATTGTAGTACAAGTTTCAGTTTCTTCTGACATCTAGTTTGGGCTTTTCTTTCTTCCCAGTCTTTGGAATGACCTTTTGCTTTCTTCATGGATGATGTCCTTGATGTCATTCCACAGCCTGTTTTGTCTTCAGTTATTAGGGTTCAGCGCATCAAATTTCTTGTTGTAGTTAAGTACCATCAAGTTGAGTACGATTCATAGTGGCCCTATGAACAAAAAATCTGAACCCTGTTCTATCATCATTTCTCCAATGTTCATAGAGTTTCCAAAGGCCTGTTGTTTAAGAAGTGGATGCCAGTCCTGCCTCCAAGCCTGTTTTATTCTGGGAGCTCTACCAAACCCTGTCTACTATGGGTAACCATTATGGCATTTGACACACTAGTGGCAAAGTGTTCAATATCACAGCAGCCCCAAGTTATCTCAGTACAGCAACTGACAGACAAGTTCCATACAACTTAGAACAATGTTCTTTCTAAACGTAATTAACCGCATGCCTGAGGGCAATCTCAGGCCCAACTGACTTTTAAATACAAAGGCCAACCCACCAGGTCATGATTGACTTAAATCAGAGACTGCCAGCCCACAGCTGATTGTTGATAAATCCAGGTGACCAGTCAGCTTATACATGATTGTTAACAAAACAAAAAAGACCCAACAGTTTACAACGAACTTCCAACTAAATCAAGAGAACCTGCCCTACAGAATCCAACTGCTTCACTCATGAGCCTCCAAACTGGAGACTTAGTCAGGGCACAACTGACTTTTAAATACAAAGTCCCACCCACCAGGTCCTGATTGACTTAAACAAGAGGCTCTCTCTCTTCTTCAGATTGTTTTTAAAGTCTATCAGGATACACTTAACATCCTATTTTGGTTCTTGTCGACTTGTTTCCATTTTCTTCAACTTCAATGCCCAGTTTGTCTGTACAAGAATATTTAGATTGGCCTTTCAGTGGTCAATGCTATATGGGCCCTACAAGCACAGTTCCACATTGCACTTTTCAAAGCTTGAATCATAACTGGGAAGTGCCATTGGAATAGAGGAAGACCTATGAATATACACAGGAAAAAACACCTAGCAATAAGAGAGTATTCTTGGTAAATTTTAGGTTCCCCTTTTTAACTCCTTTCTTACTTTCTTCACTATGAATGAAATTTCAATCCCCACTCCTTTATCTGACACACGTAACTGATCTTAAGGTGAGAGGCAGGAATCGTCTACCCTGAGGGTCTTCCTTGGCTCCCTTGTCTTGCTCAGAGCATGTTCAGGTGCTTCACCTTTTTGACCTGATGGAATCCTCTGTCTCTTCCATCTATATTTTTGTTGTTATGTGCCATCCTGTTGACTACACCTTATCGTGACTTTGGAGATGACATACAGGAACCTTTCCCTATTCCACACCGTCATCACAATCTCTGACATGCCTGAGCCCATTTTATAGTCACTTTGTTAGTTTCTTTTATTGAGGGTCTTCTCTCTCTCTCTGACCTTCCACCTTTCCTAGTATGATGACTGTTTTCAAGGACTGGATCCACTTGGTAATATGCTCATTACATGTGGGTGAAGTTTCACTCTCCTTGCCTGTAAGGAGCACTTTGCCTGCTCATCTACCAAAACAAACTTGTTTGTTATTTTGCCAGTCCTTGAAATATTCTGTCCTCTTTTCTGATATCACAACTCAAAAGGCATTGATTCTTATGTTATCTTTATTCCTTGTCCAACTTTCAGATACACAGAAAGCAATTGAAAATTTCATGTCTTGAATGAGGTGTATCTTAGTTTTTAAATGAAAATTGTTGCTCTTTAGAACCTTAGAGATGTCCTTGACATTCATATTTTCCAGTTCAAAACATATTTTGATTTCTTGACCACTGCTGCTGCTATTCATATTGATTATGGATCCAAGTAAAATGAAATTGTTGACAACTTTCATCTTTTCTCTATTGATCATGTTTATTGGTCCTGTGGTGAGGATTTTTATCTTCCTGTTGAAATCTAATCCAAACCAAAAATGGGTGTCAGAAGAGAGTCTAAAGCTGGTACAAGAACAGAGAGAAGTCAAAACAAAGGGAAGTAATGTTGAAGAAAGAGAGATGAACAGAAGACTGCAAAAGGCAGCTTGAGAAGGCATAGCACAGTGTTATTAAAAAATATACAAAGAATCGGAGTTACAAAACTAGAAGGGAAGAAGATACTGACATTTCTCAAGCTCTCAAGCTGAAAAAAACCTAAAGAACAAACCAGAGCCTCAAATTGCAATATTGAAGGATTCTTTTGACAAAATAGTGAACAACACAAGAAGCATCAAAAGAAGATGGGAAGAGTACAGATACAATGATCCAAAAAGAGTTGGTTGGCATCAAAACATTTCAGGCCGTAGCATATGATCAAGAACCAACAGTTAAAATTGAAGAAGGCCAAACTGCACTGAAGGCACTGGTGAAAAATAAAGCTCTGGTAATTGATGGAATCACAGTAGATGTTATGTCAAGAAACAGAAGCATCTCTGGACATAATTACTAGCCTTTGGCAAGAAATTTGAAAGACAAAGGTAAGTACCAGGCCAACTGACTGGGAAAGAGCATATTTGTTTCTATTTCCAAAAAAGGAAATTCAACAAAATATGGAAATTATTGTGCAATATCATTTAAAATCACATGCAAGTAAAATCTTGCTGAAGATTCTTTTAAAAAATGGCTTGAATAACAGATCAACAGGGATCTTCCACAAATTCAGGCTGGATCCAGAGGAATCCATGGCACAAGAGATGTCAATGTCAGTTGACTCTTGGCTGCAAGTAAAGAATATTAGAAAGATGTCTATTTGTGTTTTATTGGCTATGTAAAGACATTTGACTGTGTGGATCTTAACAAATTATAGCTAACATTGAGAAGATTGTGGGTCCTAAAGTACTTAATGATGCTTTTGCAAAATCTACACAATTGACTTAGAAGCAGTTGTCTGAACTGAACAAGGGAACACTGCATACTTTAAAATCAGGAAGCATGTGCATCATGGCTCTATACTTTCTTTATACCTATTCAATCTGTGTTTATGAGCAAATCATTCAAGAATCTAAACTACAAGAAGAATGTGGCATCAGGATTGGAGAAAGACTCATAATCAGACTTGCTCTATTTAAACCTGGTGGGTTGGTAAAATTAATCAATCCCATTATGAGTCATTTCTGTATACCTTATTTGTGTCTTCCCACCCAGCCATATGGCAAAAGTCAAAACCAATGGCTATATATTTACCACAAGAAGGCATTTACTGTTTCAACATTCTTAACCAGAAACTCTGAACTTTGATAAATGTTGATAGTTATTGAAAGGCTTCAGGCCTTTTGTCCATAGGGTCGCCATGAGTCATGCTCAACTCAAAGGCAATCAACAACAACATCGTATTTGTATGATTCCTGATATTCCACATAAATGAGATCTTACAATATTAGCCTTTCTGTGACTGACTTGTTTTACTCAACAATATGTTTTCAGGGTTCATCCATATTGTAATATGACTCAGGACTTAATTTCTCTTATGGCTAACTATATTCCACTATATGGAAACTCTGTATTGTGTTTATGTATGTATATGTTGATGGAGTTTAGGCTTTGCCGACCTTTTGTCTATCATAAATAATCTGCAGTAAGTGAACATTGGTATGCATGTATCTATGTTCATGCCTTTTTCGAAATCCCTCGGTGTCACCTAGCATGCCCAACTCTGATGGTGTATTTAATCTCACTGGGTAGCATTAGAATGCATGGACCTTTTGTTACCATCCTCACAATACAGTGTTGTGAGTTTGGGGTGCTAAGTCGCCAGTCATTACTCCTGACGTGCTCCATGCTGTGTCTATAGAGCTCGGACCCAGCTTCTGCACTGATCTGTGGAAACACCTCTGTCTGGTTTGTGTTTTTTTTACAGAGCCAGCATTACTCAGAGCCGCAGTTCGCATTCTTTAAACAAGCAGCTCATCATTAACATGGAGCCTCTGCAGCCACTGCTGCCCTATCCCAGCGAGCAGGATGAGGAACTTCCGCCAGGTGAGGGGGGTCCATGTGCTGCTCCAGGACGGCACTGCAGGCTCATCCTGGAGGAATGGGTGGCACCAGCGGCTACACCGGCAGCGTGGGGGTGGGGTGGAGTTGAGGGGCTGCAGGAGGTCCTAAACTGTCTTTTAGTACATAAGCTGTTACGAGGCTGTTCAGCTTATTATAGTTATTATTGTTAGGTGCCTTTGAGTACAACTGATAGTGACCCTGTGAACAGCCAACCTGAAACCTGCCCTATCCTATGCCATCCACATCATCTCTGAGACACGAGAGCCCATTATTAGGGTGATAATTATGGGAGTTGAGAAGGCACTGGTATAAAACATTCTCATAGTTATGTAACAAAGCAGCAGTGGTGTTAGACTTGTCCTGTCCGGTACAGTAACAGTTCCCACATGTGGCTAGTTCAAATTCTGCTCACACTAGCCTGATCACCACTTACCAGAAGACTCGTGTGACTAATGGTGGAATGCTTTATTAAGGTTTAGATTATAATCATCAAGTTAGTGGTTATGAAAAAGCCTTCACAAGCATCTATTTCATTTTACAGTGATTTTTTTCATTTTTTCTCCAGTCACTTGTTCCTTTTCCAACTTGTTAGACATATGGATGCACACTAAGATATACAAGGTCACTTCAACCCAAAAGTTGTGATATTTTTAAAGGTTTCCATATATGTTAAGGGAGCTCTTGTGGTGCAGTCTGTAGGGATTGTGCTTTTAACTCAAAGACCACACTTCTGTGGCAGTTCAGTCCACCAGCAGCTCTGCAAGAAAAAAGAAGGGCTGTCTTCTCTCGTATGGTTCACAGCCTCAGAAACCCGGTGGAGCATCGGTTATGAGTCAGTTCCTGCTCAACAGCAGAGAGCTTGCAGGGTTTTTTTAAAGTCATATTTGTATAATCGTCTTTGCAATCACTTGCTATGCATTGGAGACCTGGACAATGACTATGGAGGATAGAAGGAGAATTGATGCCTTTGACCTGTGGTGCTGGAGAAGAGTATTGAGAATACCATAGGCTTCAAAGAGAACAAACAGGTTCATCCTAGAGAGGGTTAAAACAAGCTGCTCCTTGAAGGCAAGGATTTTGAGCCTTTGTCTGTCATACTTTGGACATGTTTCAAGGAGGGACTAATCCTTGGAGAAGGATGTCATGCATGGGAGGTTGGAGGGACAGCTCAGGAGAGGAAGACCCTCAATGAGGTGGATTGATTCAGTGACTGGGATTACCGGGGCAGGAGTGTAGGAGACAGTGAGATTGGCACAGGATAGAACAGGGTTTAAGGCTGTTTTACATAGGGTCACTATGAGTCACAGGCTACTGGACAGCACATAACAACATTTGTTTAATCATATATCTTCCTAGATTTATATATCATTTTTAAAGGACATCAAGGAAGAATTATATTGCTTCTGTTTGCTACAGACACCTGATAAGGCAAAACTTATCACACCATCACCCACTCCTAATAATTTCAAAACAAATAAGACTATGTACACAAAATAAACTTTCTGGAAGCCTGTGCCAGAATGTGGTCGGCTTTTCTTTAACTATATGCAATTTTACGTTTATCTTTTAAAATCTAAATCATGTGCCATTTCAGAGGGCAGTCATCAAAATATGATTGTCACTGCAGGTTCACATCAAAAATTCCTTTGATTGAAGACTTTTCAATCCATGCTAAGACCATGGCTTGAAAGCACATGCGTTTCAGGAGTAGTAGGAGCAGCTCATTTATGCTTATACTAACTTATTTACATTTACATTAAGTGTAAAGAATTTTGATAAGTATTTTCCTGAAAAGAAGCTTCTATGTTTAGATGGGGAAATGGGTAATGGAATACTGGCAATCTGGTGAAGTGGAGGGTGAGTACCTAAATGTGGATGATGGAAACTTAGAAGATTCCATTTCACCCAAAGCTCTGCTCCAAAGGTCCTGGTTTGAGGGAAATAGAAGTGGTGAGGTGGGTTTTGCCTCTGTGGGTTGAACCATGTGTTTTCTCCTTCACTCTTCACTTCCATGGAGAAGATCTTGTTCATTTTTAGTAAAATTGTAGTGTCTGATATAATATCAGTGACATAATATCAATGTCTGGTATAATGTCAATGTATAAAATTTTGTTTGTCTTTGACAGAGGGGTAAATGGATGTGTGTGATGTGATCAGACATTAATACTACATGGTATATGGTCATAGGGCACTGGGCAGAGGTGGAGAGAGCTGAGATCAGTGAGAGCCCGGAAGTTAAGATGCTAAGTTGGCAGGTACAGTGGTTTACCATCTTAACTGCACAGACACAGGCAGGTACAGTGGTACACCATCATAGGGCATGGTTGTGGTCAGGTACAGTGGTACACCATCATAGGGCATGGTTGTGGTCAGGTACAGTGGTATACCATCACAGGGCATGGACACAGGCAGGTACAGTGGTACATCGTCATAGGGCATGGTTGTGGTCAGGTACAGTGGTACACCATCACAGGGCATGG